AATGACAAGAAAAGTGATTTTTATCCACAATGCCTTTTTTAGCATATGATTTGTATTCGTTTATTTAGAAAAGGAATGGAATAAAGCATATCTTAGTGCAAATACATAAAGAACTGCTTCAGGGCATTGCTGTCAGACATACTAACCTGCTGCGTCCTCAGTAGCTGGTGTCAATGTGTAAGGCAACAAGCTATAGGCATCAAACACAGCCTGTTGATGGAGCCATGCACTTAAAGTACTGCCACAGCATAGTTGAATGTTTGGTTGTTTCTAACTGTTATCAAGTTTCATGGTGCTTAATAGAGCATTAGAGCACACAATAGCAGCAGAAGTCACACAACACAAGGAAATTCTAGTCAACCAAAAATAGATACACTCTAAAAAAGTGCTAAATAGCATTAAAAGTGCTTCATTGGCTTGTAATCATAGGGGAACCACTTTAAGTGTTATACAGCACTTTTGTCAAATGGTGTTATGTAGAAACATAAGAGGAACCCCATTCTCCTCCTTAGATTTTAGATATGTTATTCCACTCTCATATGTTTGCTATGAATGGGAATTTATTACAATGGCAAAAGCTGAATCACTTTTATGCTTTTCTGAGGCCAAAAAGTCTTGTTTGGGGACCCTGGAATATTTCCTTATGGGGGACTTTGGGGGCAAAAAGGTTAAGTACATGTTATCTTCAGGAAATACACTGTATTTTAATGTTGTTTTTAATCCTTTCCCCAACTAAACTAAGAGAATAAGAGAGTTAGAGAACCTTTAAAGAACTATATATGGGCTTAACGGGTTCTTTGTATGGCAGTGGTGCTATATAGCACCTCAACCACCTCAAAGAACCACTGAAGAACCACATTTTTTATGTGAAAAAAATGTTTTTATGTAGTTAAAATGGAAAACATCACGAAAAGTAAATAATGTTTCCTTTGTGTACATATTTGTGTAATTTTAAAGGGATAGTTTACCTAAAAATAACAATTCTGTTTTTTTTTCTAACCTGTACTGAAATGTATTTCTTCTGCAAACACAGAAGTAAGTATTTTGAAGAATACAACAGCATTGAACCCCACTGGCTTTCACAAAAAAAAAAAAAAAAAAAAGATAAAATAAACTAAAATAAAATAAACTAAAAACAAAGCACAGATATAAACAAACATATTGTCTTTTGTGATATATAGAAGAAATAATGTGATACAGGTTTATGTTGACAGAATTTTTATTTTTAGTTGAACTGCCTCCTTCACAATTAGGACTCATTTGAATCAAACTTTCAAAATATTGTCACAAAAATCCAAGTGTGAACATGTAATTTTAGCCAACCAAAACCTGCATTTTTAACCAAATCGTCTAAGTTGCATACATAAAATGAAGGGTGTGTCACTAAGACTATACAAGCACTAGTTCCTGAGTGATTTATTCAGACCTCAAAAAGACCTCATCTAGACTCCTGTGTTAGACCAAATGCACATGGCAACACAAAGGCAATGTGTATCGAAACCAGTGTATCAATTATCTACGGGACCTTCAGCAGAGGGAAATAGTGTCTACCCCTAAGACAGAGTGTGCCCTGAGGCTAGTTTTACCAAGTGACTCCACATAATCACATCCAATTAACGAAACCACAAAAAAGGAGGCAGTTCAGAGAGCTACCTTATCCTTTGCGGTTCCACCACTCATTCTCACTCCCTCTCTCTCTTCTGCAGAGCACAATTCACTTTAAGCATTGCTTAAGCCAATGCTCAAGGGGTGTTTTAACAAGCAGTTGATTAGCGTTGGTCTTTTGCAGGCTAATGTTTAGCTGACATTAAAGGTCCACGTGGGAAGTATGTACCGTGAACACGGACCTCAATCGTAGGGAATGAATTCCAGAGTTTTCCATGTGCCAGTGAAGCCCAAAACCAGCAGGAGCCACACCATCAGAGAGCCGTTTTAGCAGCAACTCCAAAAACACATGATGGCCCCCCCACTGCTCAGGGATAATGGAGCCGCACTGAATTTCAGTATCACTTTAAAGCCTCTGATAATAAACTCCATGCACCTCAAAACATTAGCCGTAAACTGATAATAGGCACAGCGGTAGCTCAGGTAATATTTCACAGTAAATATACTCTGTTGCTTACGATAGGTTCACTTCAGGCAAATTTCTGCAATACTAACATGGCTGGGATTTTATATCATACGTTGACGCTACACAGCAATATGCTCCAACATTATTTACATACTTCTGTCTCTAAAATACCCATTCACTTATGTCCATTTAATCATTCCCTACTGGTTCACAGCAGAACACATACTCGGGCTCAGTGGCCAAAGCCAGAACTCCTGTTTGCTCATTGTTCATTCCAGTGATCATGACACAGCTAATAGAGGCCGGATTAGTGTGCAGGAACAGAGTGGGCAAACACACAGAGACTAATGATGGAGACCAGCCAGTCTGCACCACTTTCTCATGCTCTAGCACCACCTCTATCATATTTGCCCCTGACATTAGTTTGTGCATATTATGTTTACTAAGGTATTGGCATGCACTACATTTACACCCATCCTTCTGCCCCCACTGATAACCATAGCTTTGGATGTATTTATGCTTGTGAACACAAACAAATGTCCTATATGCTATATTTTTCTTTTCTACAAATCTGAAATCACACTCCCCAATTCCATGCTTCAGTAAATCTACTACCCTATATATTCCCGTCCCCTTCCTCTCTGTATCTGTCAGTGTGCTCTCCTCATCTGTCGTCTGCGCTTTGAATCCGGAGTGGTCCAGCACTGTACCAGACTAGAATTTTAAGCATGTCCTTTGGTCAGGAGAAGGGGGCGGTAGAGTCGGTTGCTGTATGCATGAAACTTAAAAGGGCTCTAAAGGAGGCTCTAGCACGGTAACAAGCTATATTATGCGGCTTTGCATTCCTTTGCACAGGAGTCGGTGCAAATTAGGGAATAAGCCTTTTTCTCACTTTTGTTTTTACTAGACAAAGCTATTCCAATACTGTGTGTTATTTTCATCAGATAATTGATTTATTGTGAACCATTGAACTAACTGATGACAGGAGAGACATGTATGCTGTACAAGTGGGCAATGGGACAATGAATAAGGATGATATATTAAGATCATACAATCAATATGAATAGCAAATAAGCCAATAGCAATGTATTGCTGGAGGTGCAGGAGCCAAATAAATGGCTTATAATAATGCATTGTGAGAACAGCATTAAAAATGCTGCAAAGGCAAGGTCGACACTCTTTAAAGCATAAATTTATGTCATTTTATATGTCAATTTATTATCTCAAAGGTTTCAGTAAGTGCAACTACATTAAATTGCAATATGTTAAAATGAGTGCGCTGCCGCTCGGAACAGAATTTGATATCGTCTGAGCTGGTAGCCATGGCAACAGTACGGTTATCGAACGCTTTTCGTTAAGATTAGAATCATACAAAATAGAAGTCCTATCATCATTTATAGCCTATATTTTTTATATTAATACTTTTTTATTTGTTTAATATTATTTACAAATGACAAACAAATAACAAAAAATGTGTTTTTAAAATGTCTTTATAATAGTTAATGATCAGCTACATGGTCGAGTGCAAATTTCCTGTATCTTAAAATGTAGCATAGGCTATTTTAGCTACTAATAAAAGGATCTTGTTTTTGTCAAAAAAACTGATTACATAATCCACATAACATGTAGTCTGTTACAACCCAGCCATGTAAGCATCGTTTCAAATCCACTATATTAATTCGAGAATGAGTTCATATCCGTATGCTTCGCTCCGTCCAAATAAGAGTTTTAAACTGCACCCTTTTCTGTCGCCGCACGTCCCTTCTCTGTTGTATAATTTTCTCTCTCACTCCCTCTCTCTCGTTCTCTCTCTCCCTCCCTCTGTCTGAGCCACAGCACGCCTGCCTACATCCCTCTCCCAAATCTTCACTAGCACACAAGCAAAGGGGAGAGAAGCAGACCCAGCACACCACGTTCCTCATTATCAGGTCTTTTTGTCTTTTACATGGCGCAAGAGCTCTGCAAGCGGGACGGTTCTGGGTGCGAGAAAGCCAGCGCGGATTTGGATAAGCGAGCACCAGTGGCGGGTGTCGACCACAGCAGTTCCGGCGCCTCCGCCTTCTCGGTCTTCTCTAGCCGGCTCTATGACTAGTAATGGTCGGCTTGTTCTGCTGGATGCTCCCTGCTCTAACCGGATCTTCGACGGCACCATATTCAACAGCAGATTGCCATTTTCGGAAGAGACCTTCAAAGAGCTAGGAGATACATATGGAAACTGGGGATCAGAATTTTAGGAAAAAGGATATATAGTAGTGCTTTATTTTATTATTCCATTTTGCTCATTTATGTTTCGTTCTCAATTAATTCTCTCATTCCATCGTTGACTTGATTTGTTAAATTGATGCGAGAGCGGCAGCAGCAGATTTAGATTCACCTGGACATTCTTTTTGTTGGTTTTGAACTGGACTATCCTGGCCATCCATCCATCTATCCTATATTTTTTTTCTGCTCCTGCACTTCAATAGAGCTTTCCCTGTCCTTTCTGGGGGTTTTCTTCCTCTCTGCGTCTTTCCCTCTTGATTAGAATAGACTAGGATTTGCTTAGCCATATTAAGAGAGGACAGCGTTTGTTAAGCAGCTACGTAGGTCAACAGTTGTTGTAACACATCGAATTGTTTAGATATATTCCGATCCGAAGCAAAGCCTTCCATTGCTCCATCAACGCCAGTCTGAATTCCACATTCTTCCTAAACCAGTATTTATCCTCAATTCCTATCACATCAAATCTACGCGCCTAAATTGTCATAATTAAAACCGAGCATTGTTCAACACTGGCTTAATTGCCGTGGCGTTTGAATTACATGCTCGGGCCACTATTAAAGGCCTCGGCAATTAATTATTATCTTTGATTAGTGGCTTTGTAGCGTGAATGTTCGTGTAAATTTAAGCTGTAGCACTAGCTGCTGCATATCTTACCTTGTTTAGAAAAAAAGAGAGACAAGGACAAACGATTTAGGACGGTAAAATTGCTCTTTGTTGGAACAGTGCGGAAAGCGTACCGTTCCACTCCAAAAACAAACGAAAAAGCCAGAAAGGCTCACCTATTTCTTCCTTAATCGGTTCTCACCCAAACGCAACCATAAGGTTCCTACCGCATCCTCCCCCTTCCCCCTCCTTTCGCTCAAATATATCCCATTTTTTAAATTTGATTTGGTCCCGTAAATTTTCAAATATTTATTTCCTATACATCAAGAGGAAAGGGGGTCCCCCTTTCATGGAATGCGGAAACATGGGTGTGTTTGACCGCGGAGTTCAGATGTTATTGACCACGGTGGGCGCGTTCGCCGCCTTCAGTCTCATGACCATCGCGGTGGGCACGGACTACTGGCTGTACTCGCGCGGCGTGTGTAAGATCAAGAGCAACAACGAGAACGAGACCAGCAAGAAGAACGAAGAAGTGATGACCCACTCGGGACTGTGGAGGACATGTTGCTTGGAAGGTAAGACGACTTTCATCATGCTCTCGTTTATCCACCAGATGACGTTTAGCGGTCCCCCATTTGCATTAGAGGGTCCATCTCAGCATGTGCACACGTGTTCCCGTCGGTTGTTACGGAAACGCATCTTAGGCCTGCTGCTCTAGTGATGGTTTAACAGCTCCGCGTTCAGAACCACGGACAGCGACAGCGGCGCACAATACTAAAACTGATGCGTAAAGATGTTAAACAGGGTCTACTTTGCCAGATAGCCCAAACACATTGCTGTCTCTTATGAAGTTGTTAACTGGGTTCTTGTTGGTCTAAGATGGCCATGATCTAAAAACCGGTTTGAACACGTATCATTATTAACTTGTTTAATATATTCTTGCTGCAGCTCATGACCAACTTGGACCAGCTCATGACCAGCTTAGGCCAGCTAGAAACCATCTACCAGAGCTAGCAGCTTTTTTGGGTTGAACCAAAAATAAAAATTTTGTCATTATATGCTCACCCAAATGACTTTCTTTCATCCGTGGAACACAAAAGAAGATATTTTGAAAAATGTTTTTGTCCCTACAATGATAGCCCAAAGCAACACTGAACCCCATTGATGTTCACAGTATGGACAAAAAAAGAACCAAAATATTTTTTGTGTGTGTGTTCTACAGAAGAAAGTCAGTCATACAGATTTAAAATGAAGACTTAAAAAAAAGGTTCTTTATTGGCATCTATGGTTCCATGAAAAATAATTTTCATTCCAAAAAAGATTATTTGCAGTGGAAAAAGGTTCTAAAAGGTTCTAAGTGGAACCAAAAAAAAAAAAAAAAAAGAGGCTAGGGCATCACTGTAAAAAAAAAACCCTCTTTTGGGAACCATTATTTATAAGAATGGATGAAAAAATTATGACAAAAGTTACATTTTAGGGTTAACTATCCCTTTAAGATGGATTTTCCCACAGGGGAAAGTTATGGATGTAAAAGCAGATAAATGCATGTGTGCACTACTGGGACTTCCACTAGGTAACACCTGGAAAAGAAATCGCTACTCGCATGCACCATGTTTAGAAATGCTCTCTGTAAGTCAGGTCAGCATACACAGACAGCTGATTTCCTGTCATGCTTCAGTGGCTGCACTGACTGCTGACTTTGGCCTAGCAATGTCACCTTGTGAGGTCACAGAGCATAACAAATCCTCATGCTCACCAGGGCTCAGAGGAGGCACAGAAGATGGCCTGGGTCTCTGAGGCACACGGCCATATGCTATCTGTACACATCCTCTGCTGCTTCTAAAGCACAGGAAGATCTATTGAGGAAAATCCGTGTAGCTTTATATCCAGTCAAATGAGTTAAATTACAAGGCATATTGACAGGGGAGACTGATGTTGATCTTGATCATCATGACAGCATGAGTTCTCATAGCCATATGTTGACTACGGCAAGACGAGTGACTTTGACCACATCTGTGAGTGTGTCCTTAACATCTGCTTTTTAATTTTGTCTGTCAAATGACCTAAAAGACTCAAGGCGTAAAACCTTGATGTGTAGAAATCTCTTGGATCAAAAAGTGCTTCATGAGAACCATCCAAGTGGGGCCTGATGAACATTTCCATGTAAAATATTTCCTAATAGCTTGGTTTGTATTGCATCTGTGTGTCACTGGCACCACAGAATTCCACATGATAGTCAGTCAGTTGTAATTTGTGATTCATTTTAGCTCTCAGTTACACAGATATTGTACACCGAGGTCAAATTCTTTGGAATAGCAATACCATTTGATTCGGTTCAGCTAATAAACTGCCAGCATAAGTCTGTGTGTGTGACAAAATAAATCCTACAGTTTTTGAACAGGCAAAGTGATCACTGGATAAACAACAACACACTTAGTAGAACATACATTTAAATTGTTGATTACAGCCAGCTCATTTGCAAAATTAGGTGTGGGTCTATGATAAGTCTTAATTAGACGAGGATTGTGCTGCTTTAATGTGAAGCGTCTCTATTCCTTCTGTTCTCAGTTCAGGCTCACACAGATCTCACGCTCAGACTATGACAAAAGCAATTAGCTGCAACAGTAAATAACACTTATCCCTCAACCTACACGGTTGTATCCATCAACCAGGTGCCGCCTCTCAGAGCCCGTCTTGCACTGCCATCTCATAGACTGTGTGTAGGCAGGCCAGGATGTAAATCTCAGTGGTCAGTGCAGAAGATGATTTGCTGGGGAGGAATAGATTTACAGCATGCAGGTGGGCAAGAGTGTTATCAGAGTGTAATCTGTCCCTGGAGTGCTCCAAACTGATGAGAGAGGGGAAACACCCTCACTGGACTGTCCTCAGCAATATTAGCAATGCTTCAGATATTTAACATCTACTCCCACCCCCGTATAAAGTACACTATAGACCAATCCAGAGGATCACACCTACAAAAAGACTTGCATATCTTGCTTGGCTCAATCAGATGCATTATAACTTCCTGAGCAACAGAAGAGAACCAATGTATATTACATCTACATGAAATGGTTCTTTTCAATTGGTGCCAGTATTTGGAAAGCATAAGCATCTTTATACTTACTGTACACTAATTTAAAAAAATTGGGGTCGGTAAGATTTTTTAAAATGTTTTTGAAAAATGTCTCTTATGCTGAAGTGTGAATTATTACAATGTAAAACAACAGTTTTCTACTTTAATATATTAAAATGTAAATTACTCCACAGTCTCACATGATCCTTTAAAAATCATTCTGATTTGCTGAGTTTGGTGCTCAAGAAGCATTTCTTACTATTATCATTGCTGAAAACAGTTGTGCTGCTTAATATTTTTGTGGATAACCTTTTTTCAGGATTCTTTGATGAATAGAAAGTTCAAAAGAACAGCATTGATTTGAAAATGAATTTTTTTTTAGCATTATTAATGTCACATTTTATAAATTTAATGCATCCTTGTTAAATAAAAGTAAGACTTTCTTTTAAAAAAAATCTTCTGGACAGTATTGTATATCCATTAGATTAATATCAAATTCTTACAATTCTTAAAATAAAGCTAGTGTCAATAATAGAGGTATACGCCAGTCTGCTTTGAGCAAATAATTTATAGAGAGCCCTGTTTATAGAGAATCTTAAAGCTATTCTTGTAGCTAAGCTGGGTCATGTATCCATTCACTTTTTATTCTCATATATTTCAGTTTCTTTCAGTACATTTGCATTTATTTCTAATGTCAGCAGATCTATTTTGTTCTTAATGAACTTGCAATGTTTCAACACCTCAAAGGCATACTTAAAAACATATGGATGTCATTAGATAAAAACCAAGAGGCATTTATTAAAATAAATAGCACAAGCACACTTTAAGAAAAAGCATGTAGTTGTCGTTTGTTTTAAAAGATAATATAATAGACACAGACAAAAATGAGGACAAAATGTACACTTCTAGAAAACAATCTGTAGAGAACTACCAGTACATTTTCTGTTAAGTTTACAGGCATTTATTTGAAGCCTAAAACACACTATGCACTGCATATTTTAAAACACAGGTAAAACACCAGTGAAACATCAATACATAAAATGCCTTCATATTAACACCGTACAATGGGCCTTTTCTTTTGAGTGTCAGAGTTTAGTGGATTTAAAACTCAGTGGATTATGAACTACACTTGTGGTTAATCTTGAGCTAAACTGACTCGAAAAATCATAAATGACCATGAATCCAGCTGATTAAAAGTCATTTTTATAGTAAGAAATGTGAAGTTACTTATGCAAAAAAAGTCTAGCATCTTTTGTTCGCAGATGCCACTTAGTTCGACATCTTGTTATCTAATACAATTCGTAAACTTTTAAACTAGGCTTAAATGTCCAAATACTTTTAATGGCCACCGCACATTTTCAACTTATAACTTTTTTATTTCCATCCTCAATCACAAAGCAAAAAGTGTAAAACCAGATAATTAGGGCGAAGTTTCTACTATTTTTTACAACACAAAAGCAAAGCACAATGCACTTTCTGTTATCGCACCTCTCAGTGAAAGATGACAGCTTGTTAAGGTCTTGTTCTGGACACCCACGGAGCCATTATAGTGCCACTGCAGATTAGAATGTGTCCCTATAGTGAGTGGAAGCAAATATCCATCAGCATGACATTGCAGTGCATGCATGTACACATGAACAAACATTGCCATGAAAGAACACAAGCTAGTATAAGGTGGGCCACCATTACTGTAGTGACTCAGACCCCAAGTGTACTTCAGCAGAACTACAGGTAATCTGCGTTATTAATCTTCATTACGCTAACAATGTATGTGGGGTACAGTACAGCGAGAGCAAAGAAACAGCGCAGCAAAGTACAGTGACAAAGGAGGCACAGTTATATTCCTCGCATACCCAACACTTATCATTCCGAATCTCTGTGACAGCAACTTTCCCAAGAAGACAGATCATTCTCCTGAATGCTTTGAGTCGCTGTGAATATTTTCCAGGCCACGGGGGGCTGCTGCTAATGAATGGACTTCCTGCACAAGTTTTCCACTCGCATGCAGCCAAAGCGTGTGCTTGAAGAGATAACCAGCGCCATCTCAGCAGGAGGGGTGAAAAATACTCGTGCATTTTTCTCACCTCTCGCTAGTTCATACTCACAAATCTGCTCTTTGTAAGCAAGTGTGTGTGAGGTCTCATACAGGTCGACTGAACCAGTGTGGCCGTGTTGTGCTAGTATTTGTGAATCATGTGATCAAAATGGTCATGTGTAAGACTTTTTGGTTTCAAAAGGTCATATTTTTATGTATGTGTGATATAGACAGAATAGCCTGGCTCTGCTGTAGAGACGGATTAAGCTCATAAACTGATCAGATAAGGATTACCAGCCTGGCATGGATCTGCCCAGCTAATGACCCAGGTCCAGAGTGGCATTACGCAGTATTACAACACTACTGCATGCTTCAGTTCGCTCACACAGGCCACTTGCCCCAAAACAATCATCCCAGTTCAGCTCTACACTTACCAAAGGAAAAGTCCAACCATATTTTCTTTGGCATGCTCACTCTCTATAACACTTCAATACTATGATCCACTTATCCTATAAACACCAGTGATGTGATGAACAGTAGGAGAAAAAAAACATCCTGGAAGAGCAGCATATACACTGCCAAAACATTCTGTCAGGTTAACCTGTAAGAGAAGAGCTGTTTCATTCAATGCCTTTTCTCATTGCCTTGTCAGATGATCATTACAGTTTCGAGGTGTCATATTTCTAGCTTGATATATTCAGCTGTGACATTAAAGGGAGAACCAAAGTGAGTAAATGATGACAGTTGATCGAATGAAAAAAAGTTATTACTGGAAGTTCACAAAAGTTCATTAGGTAGATAGATAGCAAGGATTCATTTAATTGAACAATGTGACAGTAAAGACATTTACATTGTTATAAAAATTCTAGGATCACGTAACACTGAGGACTGCAATAATGGTTGCTGAAAATTCAGCTTTGTGGGAATGAATAGCATTTTAAAATATTCCTATAGAAAACAGCTATATTAAATGGTAATAATATTTCACAGCATTATTTCACTGTTTGTACTGTATTTTTTGATCAAATAAATGCATCTTTCAAAAACATTTAAAAATGTCTTATGGACCCAATTTTTTAAACAGTAGTGCATCTTTTTCTACATTTTAAAGGTCCAAATTGTGACATCGTTTTATGCCCTCATGTCATTCTAAACCTGTTTGACCAAATGTTCCAAGTCTTTTGAAGCCATATGATGGAACAGATTCACATTTGCAATTGTTCACTTAGAAATTAGGAAACTGCAGCTTAAACAGCTATAAATATATCTTTCTGAGTTTCACAGAAAAAAGAAAGTCATATGGGTGACATAAGGGTGAGTAAATGATGACAGAACTTTCATTTTTTGGGTGCACTGTCCATTTAAACAATGACAGAAGCCATTTGTTTAAAAGAATAATGATCTTATTTAGAACTAATGTACTGGCAAGCCAGTTCTCATTTTGAACTTCTCAAATGCAGGACACGAAACAGCAGATCTTTTTTTTTTTTTTTTTGCGACATCTAGACAACCTCTGCCAGTATCAGGACAAAATTCTCCTCTGCCGCTCAGACAGGAGGGAACATAATGAGGGACTCAGGGGCATTATTAATATTGGATTGGGAGACGGCCCGGGTGGAATACCACTTGAATCATCCTCATTCTGATTCAGCTCTGAAAGCAGGTTGAATGTGACGGCAGTGATCAGAGTGCAACAGAACAGTCTGTTCCACATCTCATTTCTCGCCTGCTCTCTTCTCTATCGCTTGCTTTCTCTCTCCTGCATTTGCTTCTTTCTACCTGATGGTTGGCAGGTGCATGTGTAGGAGTACTCATGCTATTCTGGAACTTCTGTCTCCCCCATTCAGTTGACCCTCTACTGAGGAAGCACATCTGCATGAGCAAAATCCCTTTTAAGAGCTTTTCTGCATTCATTTTGCTTTGGTTCCTTTATTTGCAAACTATAAGGGAAGGCTAAATGATCATAGAGTCCTTGTGATAAACTATACATGGTGTGGTGAAATTAGAAAAGGTCATAAACGTAACTGTTGGACAGTCCTGTCACGGGTAGGAGGAGCCGAGTGATGTTATTCATCATTCCTCCAATCATCTTCTCCAGAGCTGCGGGCTGCCTTCATCAGGGGAATGAGGGGGAGTGAATGACACAGGCTTCCTGGTTGCTTTTGGTCCTGGTGCACTGTGTGATTTCTCTGCACTTTGACCCAGGAAACAGATCAATAAAGGACACTCCCAGGATCTGTGTGTGTGGGAATGGCCTCTATAGTGTAACATCACTGATTATAGCTGATGAATGAATGCAATAGTACAGATAAGCAGAGGCACGTTAAACTAAAAAGAGATGTTCAACATATAATATTCTGAGCTTCATACCATATAGCCACATGCCTTTGTGGCCAAAAGAAAAAGTTTAGCAGAATTTTGAGGCTGCTGTTTTCCATTTTCCAAAAATTACCAAGATTTTTTTTTTTTTGTTACAATGTAAAATTCTTTACTGTTACTATTAATCCATTTAATGCATCCTTTATTAATATATTTATTAATTTCTTTCAAACCATAAAATCTTACTGACTCCAAACTTCTGAATGGCAGTCTATATTTAATCTATTCATGCTACTTTTTTAAATGCATTCAAATATGGTGCAGCAAAACATGTTATGATGCTATTAGAATTAGACATTGAGATTTGAGACCAAAGGTGGAAGAGAAGATTTTTCTGTCTGCTCTTCTCTGATCTCATCACTTCAGAAGACCTGGAATATAAATAATATAGATTACTTTAATGGTACTTTTTGTCTTTTTTTTTTTTAAGATTAAGAGCTCCATCTACTAACTGTATAGAATAGAGCATCATGAAATTCCTTTCTAACGTCTTACATCACATGCTGAAGAAAGAAAAATCTAAAATGTACTTGGACTTGGACTGAGATGAGGATGAGTAAATAATGACAGAATTTCATTTTGAGGTGAACTAGCCCTTTACAGAGATTCTGTCTACAGCACATAGTTCATTTAAAATAAAGAGAGGATTTGTTTGAAATGTTTAGTAAAGATGCAGAAGGGATTTGACTATACCGCAGCTCATTTTATGGTTCCAATTACCACAAACCTCTTTTTGCCATGCAGAACTCAACATGCACTTCTACACAAAGAGGTGTGTGGTAATTTATAATTTCTCTCTGTACTCTTGCATGTAGTGCCAAAATCTCAGTGATACTAGACCAATTATATAGAATTGATCTCATTTCCACTGCACAGTAGACATTAGGCCAATTCTGTGATAACGTTTAAAGGAGATCATTCATTTATTCCCCCCCACCCATCCCTTCTCGGACGGACATTTTGCAGATTTAAAGCAGCGAGAGGAAATCCTGCCATAAATGCTGATTAACTCTATATCTGCTCCATTCATTTTAAGTCAAAGCGTTTTGCTGTTTTTCCCCCGATAGCAGCGGTGGAATCTGCAGCCCTCTCAGGTGTGATGAATTGGTGGTGTCCTTGGCACAGTTCATTTGCAATCCATTACAGCGCATTAGCTTTGTGTCAGAGAGGAACCCAAACACCATGCATCACTAAAGTGAGGGGATGCGATCAGATACCCCAACTTACACCCACATACCATCGACTTGCAAAGCACGTTTGAATTTCAATTGGTCTTTAGTAAAGTATATTGAAATTAGGCCAGAACTGTTTAAGTATATAGAATAAAAACGGGAAAAAAGTCACTAATTTATAGCTTAGGAAACTTAATGGAGATCTCAGTTATGCTTCGTCTCTATGTATTACCTTTGTCTTTAGGAAATGAATGATATAATTTCTGATATACAGAGAAAAGTATATACACCAAATATATACACTACCATTCAAACATTTAGTGTCAGTAAGTTTTTTTATTTTGTTTTGAAAATAGTCTCTTATGCTCACCAAGGCTGCATTTATTTGATCAAAAACACAGTACTAAACCATAGTAAAAACAGTAATCATTTATAATTTAACATTTATTTTTCAATTAGTTTTCTTTTATTCGATTTTCAGCCATTACTTCAGTCTTCAGTGTCACACGATCCTTCGGAAATCATTCTAATATGCTGATTCATTTCTATGTATGTATATATAGTGCTCAGCAGATGCTGCTATACACATACAGTACATATTATATGTGTGTGTGTGTGTGTGTGTGTGTATATAGCATCTGCTGAGCACTAGTTTTCTCAGTCTTTGTCTTGTTCATCCATCCATCCATCAATATATAAACAAAATATTCTGCATATATGCTGTTATTGCATTTAACAATTTGTTTTTTATTTTATATATATAGAATATTTTGTGTGTGTGTGTGTGTGTGTGTGTGACAATCTCAGCGCAGTGTGTGACACTGAAATCTCTTGTGACACTCTAAAGGAGACACATGTAAGATTACTTGAGTCTTTTACTCAAGAGAGCAATTTAAGAAGCAGAAGACTCCATTTTCTCTCCATTTTCTCTTATTGCCTTTGAATCTCATTGCTGTCAATGGAGAAATTAATGAGATCTTTTTTTCTATCCTATGGGTGAGTCTCACCTTGGAGAAGATCATATCTTAGCACACGCTGCTTAGCGTTTGCTTCGGTCCTGATGTATTACAGGCCTCAAGTGTAATGTTTCATATAGGACAACACTCAGACAGTCCATTAAGATGTCCCTAAACATTACCATGTGTAACATCATGTTCATTCATTTATGATCTAATTTCGTGCCATGGGTACTCACATAATGAGCATGCGTCTTCTCGTTGAGGCTCTGTGGAGGATGGACTGAGATGTTTCCACCTCTGCAGACCTGCGGTTAGCACCTAGCTTGCGAGGTGCTGAAAGTCACGCTCCTCGGTCCAGGCGGGAGCATACGGCCAAATCCACCCCCCTCTGCGCCTGTGTGCATGGGGGGAGGGAGAGACGGAGGATGGCATATGCACAGGGAGAACTGTAGAAGAGAAGCAATAATGAAAGTGATTTCTAACGTCACACGAAGTTGCACAGTAAGTTCTTTAGCCTCAATGAGATGACAAAGTGAGTTCATTCCCACACACAAAAAAGGAAAAATCCCAAAAGACAACATTAGCTCAATCTGTATATTAGTTTATTAGGTACAGAGCAGCAGGGCTCATTAACTACATTATATTAGTTGGCTTTCAAGATATGTGCATTGAGCTACACGCTGCATTTCCATGTCCCTCCTGAATCTGAAACCACATGACCATTTTAACTGCAGTTATTTAAATTATGCGCTTGTTTAGCATGAATTACCGAAACTACAAGAGGTGCACTATAGTATCTGGTTTCATACAAATATATAGTCATCTTACTCCTATTTCCTTTCCTTCTCTAAGTGGGGATCAGGTATAACGGTCCACATTGTGTCTGTATTGATTCCAGCTCTGCTAGGGACTTTGAAGACTATTGATGGGAAGTAAATGGTGCCCTGTGTCTCATTCTGATGGTACGAGTATCTCCTCCCTCCTCATTTTTTGAGTGTGTGTGTGTGTGTGTGTGTGTGTGTCCCACATTGTCTTTTTCTCTCGGGTAATAGCACCCAATTCAGTGATGAAAATTCGCACCCAATTTTAGTAGCAATTCTCAAAGCCATTGTATGGTGGTCTGGGTCCAAAGGGGCCAAGCAGTGCTGTGGTTGAGCAGAGCTTCTCAGATGGCTGTGTTTACATCAGGCACCAGTGCTGGCAAAGCCTCCAATCACAGCAAATGGTGCTGTTGGCTAAACATACTGCTGTCAGGAGACTGCCACTGTCAACTTCATCTGGGAGAATTCAACAAGACTGGCAATCTCAGGGAAGCCAAAGTCTTGCGGTGCACTGTATATTTCAATGTTCAGCCTAAAAATCAAGCTTCTATCTTTAGACTGAAGGTTTACAGAAGAATATCCAAGTGCAGTTTGACCATACACTCTAAAAAATGCTGGGTTGTTTCAACCCAACTTTGGGTCAAATATGGACTAACCCAACCGTTGGGTTAAATTTTTACATTACATTTTTAACCCAAAAGTTGGGTTAGTCCATATTTGACCCAAAGTTGGTTTGAAAGTTGTGTGAGTCCATATTTTACCCAAAGTTGGGTTGAAACAACCCAGCATTTTTTAGAGTGTAGGAAACAGTGCCATGATGCCAGGGTGTTGCTGTGTAGTTTCGAAGGCGTTGTGTTTTAATGTGTTGGTATGAAGATAACCTGAGTGCTTTTGCCTGTTTCTATGTGGTTGCTAATTTCTTATGGATGGGATTTTTTACAAGTTGTGATTGCTATGGTAGTTTGAGCTTGAACATGTTGCTTGTAGTATGTAGATGTTCTGAGTGACTTCCGTGCATTTCTGTGTGGTTGTAAAAAATGTAGGGTGTTTTTTTCTGTGTAGTTGCTAAGGCTTTCTGGGGTTTTTTTGTGTGTTTTCATGTAGTTGCTACGCTCTTCTAAGTGATTTTAGTGCATTTCTGTGTTGTTGGTTAGGCTTTTTATGTGTTTCTGTGTGGTTTTCTTAGGTGTTCTGAGTGTTTTTTCATGTTTCGATAGTTGCTAAAGTGCTCTTAATAGTGATGCTAGCAGTCATTTTAAGAGAATGAACTGAAACACTGCAAAAAAAACAAACAAACACTTAACTGGTCTTGGACATTTTCTCCAAAAAACATTTACTTGATACATTTATTTATTCATTCATTTATTATATCATTCGGAATATTTGCTCATTTATAACTTGTTCATACTTGGCAATTAAGACATAAAATATATAAATTAAAGATACATACTCTGGAAAAAAAGCCTTAATATCTTATATAGTGTTGCATCTCCGATCAATTAATTCTGAGATATATTTAGATATTGTAACTGTAAAATAAGACAAACACTCATTAACAATATGATTAGTTGATTGGATTGTAAAAAGTGAGTTTTGCATACCAAAATGGAGGCAGAATGTGGTGGCGTAGATTTGTATACATCAGCAGACCAAAAAAGTTTATATTTTACATATATTTGTGTTTGTGTGTGTGTGGATGAGTGCATTATAAGTCATTATAAGACTATAAGTCCAACAACATGCAATCAGGAGATAAACAGGGTTAATTGGTATGAAGAACATTGATTTAAGTCACTCTGAAAGTAGAAGCTGTTCTGAGTTCATAGCAAGAAATGATGTGCACCTGTTATCATAATTTTGCAGACATCAAATAATTCAGCTGTAAAAAGCATTCAGGGCTCCGTATATGTGCCAGGGCACAAACTTAACAAAACCGCTGACGAGAAGCTTCTCATCTGAAGATAACCTCAGGAACAGGTTGCACAAGGTGTCAAAAGAGACTGCTGCTATCACCTCCTTGTGCAGATGTGCCCATAGATAAGTATGCGGTTTGGGTCATGGAGGATGATGATGATGATGATGAACTTCCTTTCAGCTGTGTCATTTGTGCCCTCTATTCCCACTTTCCTCTACCCGTCTCAGATCTCTGCTGGGTTCTGAACTTGGAACAGGCCATTGTGTGTGTGTGCCTGTGTCTTTTTCTTAGAGTAATAAGGAACAATATTAATTTTTAATGAGGAGCAGCATGGCTTCTCTTTACTCTCTCAGATCGCTTTCCAGGACAAGGAGTCTCTAATCTTCACATTGCCTGTATGTATGTGTATGCATGTGTGAATGCATTAACACGCTAAGGCAGGGGTGTCAAACTGTGTTCCTGTCACAAAGCAAGGCCAGACACAACAGGTAAGTGCAAATCAGGATGGTTTATTGACTGGGTAAGGGGATGACTGGAATAGGTGTGTTAAAGGCAGGTGAGTGTCAACACAGTGAATGGTTCCAGGGTGCTTATCTGAGTTCTGATGGTGAGGATCGGATGCCGGTTACGTTGGAGATCGTGGAACAGTTTCCAAGGAGTTGTTGGAGGATCGCGGGAGGAACAGCAGGTAATTCGTTCTAGGAGAATTTGGCAGAGAGAGTCCAGAGAAGTTCGTAGGAGTGAACGGTAGACCGGACAGTGAGTGACTGTGCTGTGTGTGTATTTGTAGTGTGGCTTGATTGGTGACAGCAGGTGCGGGTGATCAGAACTCAGGTGACTGTGATCGGGTAATTATCCTGGATGGTGACTGAAGTGACTGTGATGAATCCCTGACAGTTCCAGCCCTGCTCCAACACACTTACCATGTAGTTTTCAAATAAGCCTAAAGTACTTGATCAGTATGATCAGGTGTGTTTAATTAGGGTTGAATCTAAACTCTGCAGGGCTCCGGCCCTCCAGGAATTGAGTTTGACACCCCTGCGCTAAGGAATCAACACAGACTGTGGAGCTTAAATTCTAAGTGTGCCATAATACTTTCTCCTATCCCAGTTCAATGCACAGAGTCAGCTATAAGTAAACCATTCGTATACTGATTTCCTGAAAAATATAAACACAGTGGCTTAGATGTAAAGAGCACAACAAGGTATTTTTCTCCATAGGAAAACACCACAACATTTGATGCAAATTTGAGAAGTATTTGAAAACTGTAAATAAAAGACGAGCAGAGCTGAAACTTTCAGTCTTCAGTGTGACATGATCCTTCAGAAATCATTCTAATATGTGGATTTTCTGCTCAAGAAACATTTCTTATTATTATCAATGTTGAAAACAGTTGTGCTGCTTAATATTTTTGAGAAGACAGTGATAAACTTTTTTCCACAAATAATTTTTTTTTCATAAATAGAAAGTTCAAAAGATCAGCATTTATTTAAATTAGAAATCTTTTGTTACATTATAAATGCCTTTACTGTCACTTTTGATCAATTTAATGCATCCTTGCTGAATCAAAGTATTGATTTAAAAAAAAAAAAGTCTTACTGACCAAAACTTTTGAACAGGTCACTTTTGAAGAGATCATTGTGCTATAAAAACATCCTTTAAGTTTCAGAACTCAAATCTTTGTCGCTACTCTAAAAACAGCTTATATTGAAGCCAGTCTGCCAAAACGACAGCTTTTGGAATGTTCTACTCTATGATGTAATAGTGTGGATAAGCACCGCCTCCGCAGAAGAAGATCAATGCCTGCTTCTACATCACTGCCTGTTTAGCCCCGCCCACTGATTCTCATGTGTAGAAGGTAAATGAAAAGTGAACGCAGGTCTACGCAGAAATCAAACGATAAACTTTATTTGATTAACTTTATTTTTAATAGATCACATTAGTAAGAACTTGTTCCTTTGTTCACTTCATTTTACTGTGGGTTCATTTACAAACAAGACACAGTTCGACGCAGGATTTTCAGAAACTAAAAGACGATGCTGTGACAAATAATTTTTTTTTCATAAATAGAAAGTTCAAAAGATCAGCATTTATTTAAATTAGAAATCTTTTGTTACATTATAAATGCCTTTACTGTCACTTTTGATCAATTTAATGCATCCTTGCTGAATCAAAGTATTGATTTAAAAAAAAAAAAGTCTTACTGACCAAAACTTTTGAACAGGTCACTTTTGAAGAGATCATTGTGCTATAAAAACATCCTTTAAGTTTCAGAACTCAAATCTTTGTCGCTACTCTAAAAACAGCTTATATTGAAGCCAGTCTGCCAAAACGACAGCTTTTGGAATGTTCTACTCTATGATGTAATAGTGTGGATAAGCACCGCCTCCGCAGAAGAAGATCAATGCCTGCTTCTACATCACTGCCTGTTTAGCCCCGCCCACTGATTCTCATGTGTAGAAGGTAAATGAAAAGTGAACGCAGGTCTACGCAGAAATCAAACGATAAACTTTATTTGATTAACTTTATTTTTAATAGATCACATTAGTAAGAACTTGTTCCTTTGTTCACTTAATTTTACTGTGGGTTCATTTACAAACAAGACACAGTTCGACGCAGGATTTTCAGAAACTAAAAGACGATGCTGTGCCAACTGTATTGGATCTGACAGTAATGTCGCAACACACAAGTGTGAGTAACTGTTTTTATT